AAAGATGGTACTGAAACCCTTTTGTTTTCTTGATTTGTGCCTTCATTGAGTCTATGTCACTAGCTCAGCCTCTCCTCTCAAACCACGTGCTCTATGGCTGCAGGGATTGCCGGGCTTTCTTTGTATTCTGGTAGGTTCTTTTTTGGGGTGGGGTGGGGGGGAGGATTCCACGGACAATTGTAGGAAATACCATTTTTCACGGTGATCGCAGAAACCACTGCAATTTAAGTAGATCCCTCCTTATAGGAGTATCTTGGTGCATCTGTATGGTTGCATGTGTACATTTGTTTGTGTGTGTGCATGTGCACATATATGCTGGGCTGTTTACACGCTTTGTGCATTTTATTAATTTGATTTCTATGTCATCTCCCATAAAAGGCTTAGGGCAGCTTATAATAACAAAGTCATAAAGACAAATAAAAAAAATAATTCCCCAAAGAACAACCAAAGGTTAACACTACCCTGCAGGTGCCTGCTCAAGTAAAGGTCATTCAAAAGATGTGCAGTTGGGATCTAACAGGCCTTAGGGGGAAGGGAGCAACAGTCTCCCATGTGGTTTGGCCATGAGAACTGGTGCACAGATGGTGCTTGTTGGAGGTTGTTCTCTGGTAAGCTTAGGAATGGTGATTGAGCATAGGGGAGGAGAGTGTCCATTATGTACATAGGACTCAGGCCATTTAAGACTTTATAGGTCAAGACCAGCACCTTGAATTATGCCTGGAAGGCTACAGGAAGTTATTGCAAACTCTGGAGCATTTGGTTAATCGTGCTTCTGGCACCCTACCCATTCTGCACCAGCTACCACTGCCAAAGTGTCTTCAAGAGTAGCCTTACATGGAGAGCACTGCAATAGTCTAACCTTGAGGTTGTGGAGGCATGGAGGATGGTGGTGAGATCTGAATCTTGAAAGAAAAGGTTGCCAGATCAAGTTGGTGAAAGACACTCTAAACCACTGCTGCAACCTGAAAATGCAGGTGTGGCAAGGGATCCAGGAGCACCTCAAGGCTGTAGACTTGAGTGAAGAGAGGAGGCAAAACCTCTTAAATGACAGATGTCCCTATCTCCCCAAGTAATGAGATCTGCCAACTACCATCACCTCTGTCTTTTCTGGATTCAGCTTCATTGGTTCATTTGCATCCAGTCCTCAACTGTAGATTGGCACTGGGGAAGGACTCAGACTGGGGGACCAGGGTCAGAAGAGGAGAGGTAGAGTTGGATGTCATTAGTATACTGATGTCCTCAGATACACACTGAACGTATCTTGGGGGACCCAATAAGCAAAGTCCCAGAAGGAGGATGAGCACTCATCCATCATCACCATCTAGGATCTCCCTGTTAGGAAAGAGCAGAACCAGTTAAGAATGATCCATGGAACACCCACCAGGTCATAGATGTGCTATCACTATCAGCAACTCATGGTTAATTGTACCAATAAGCTGCTGAAAGAGCCAATAGAATCAATGGGTATGATTTTTCCTGCTGATCTCCAGGCAAAGGACATAAGGGCAGTCTCTATGCTATATGGAGGAAAGGAAAAAAAAAATCTTTGCAGCTGGCACTGCCATAGCATAGCAGTCCTTTAAAAAACATCTATGCCTGTATCTATCAGCTTTGGGACTGAGAACCATCTGAGCTGTAACCACCTACCCTACCACTCCTCAGTTCCTCCCCTCAGGTCAGAAGGCCAGGTCAAAATGGTGCTATTTCAGTTCCTCGTGAACCTGATGGATATGTTTTTACTAATTCTGTAGTCAAGGGGTTGATAGACTCTGTGTGGGGTGAAGCATAAAGTCCAAGAAGAAAGAACTCTGTCTAGTCAAGGAGTGTTTGGACTAGTTATATATGAATTTTTCAAGTGTCGGTAAGGAGGACTAGTTGTTTTGTTGGAAGTTCAGGTAGCCTCAAATATACTGCTCCAAGATATGATTTATTTTCTTGGCTTGGTCATTCACCTGGCAATGGCAGGCAGATGAGAGGTAAGTGTGAACTCCCAGTAACTGTATAGCTTCAAACCAGAATTTGGAAATAAACGGCAGTCCTCAGCTGGATACAATATATTAGAATAATAGAATCATCATAGAAAATTAGGTTTGGAAGGGACATCAGGAGCTCACATCTAGTCCAACCCCTGCTCAAAGCAGGACTAGCCTCAACTAGATCATTCCAGCCAGGGCTTTGTCTAGCTGGGTCTTAAAAACCTCCAAGGATGGAGATTTCAGCACCTCTCTGAGTAAGGTGTTCCAGTGCTTCACCACCCTCCTAGTGAGAGAGTTTTTTCCTAGTATCTAACCTAAACCCTCCCTTGCTGCAACTTGAGCCCATTGATCCTTGTTCTGTCACCTGTCACCACTGAGAACCGTCCAGCTCCAGCTTCTTTGGAACCACCCTGCAGGTAGTTAAAAGCTGCTATTAAATCCCCCCAGGATATTCTGGGAGTCCTGAGTCTGTCTGTGTCTTTTGCAGAGGGAAGGAACGTGCATAGGATGAAGTGGACCATCTTTGTAACTTGATCCATCGCAGGCAGGATTGTAGGAAAACTGGTCAGACTATGGTGAGTCTGGGCAGGGTGGGAGATGTTAGGGTTAAAGTTGAGGTTGGGGTAAGTGAGGAGGAAGTGAGGAAGGATTGGAGGAATGAGCAGAGATTATTGGCCTTGTAGTAAGGGCACATACATCACAGAAGTAAATAAAAGGCCTGTACCATCTTGTGCAACTGTGGCCACCCAAAGTAGCAGGAGTCGAGAGAGTGCATTTTTTCCAGCCAAGGTTTCCATTCAACAGAACTGTATCTTAAATGAAGTATGGTCAGCTTAGTACAGGGGTGGGCAAAATATGGCCCGTGGGCCAGATCCACAACAGCAGGGCCCGCCTGGCCCTGCCCCCCCAGGCGGAAGCCCTACCTGGGGCTTCTGGCCTGGGAGCGCATAGCTGCCCCACGCTGGAACCTCAGGTAAGGGGGTGGGGGCGAGGGCAGGGGATGAGCTGATGCAGAACACAGGGAAAAGCTGCCCCTCCCCCGCCCTGTGGACAGTGCTCCCTGCTGCAGCCACTCGGAGCCCACGTGGGGTTGTCCTGAGCAGGCACAGGCAGCTCCATGCAGGCTGCGAGAGGCTGCAGCACCGGGCATTGCCCACGGGGTGGTCGAGGGGCTGTTTTTCCCTGCGCTCTGCACCAGCTCTTTTCCTGCCAGCGAGAAGGGGGTCGAGGCTGTGTGCTGCCCCCCCCACCTTTACTGCAGGGCTGGGGGGGGGGCACTGGGAATGAGCAGGCGTGGGAGCACAGGGCCTGCACTGGTGTCCCAGGGCCAGCATCAGCAGGGCCCAGAGCAGGGTGGTAGGGGTATAGGTTCCTGGCCAGCAGGGCTCTATGCAGCAGGGCCAGCTCCCCCCTCCTCCCTGGTGGTGCAGCCTGCGCCCGCCTCCATAGACCCCTGCCAGCCTGCGCCCTGCTCTGGGTCCAACCGGTGCTGGCTCTGGGACATTGGTCCCAAGATGGTGGCCAGGGGGCGGGGCATCTGTCAAGGGGCAGGGCTACCCATGTGGCCCTCCATAGCTTGCCAAAACTGGGTAAGTAGTCCTCTGCCCAAAATAAATGCCTGCCCCTGGCTTAGTAAGACCAAGAGGCACCACCTTTTTTCCCCTAGTAAAGATAACCCTGTCCTTGACATTATGTAGTTGCTTTGTGAAGACAGACTCCTCTGGGGGTATTTCTTCCCTGGTGGTTGCAGAGCAGGGAGAGCAGATCTGAAGGTAGTGCAGTACTGCTGAAGTTATGGGGCTTTAGTATAGGGCTAAGTTCTGGATTGTCTCCCAGTGTGTCATATTCAGCCTTATGTCTGCCGTCCCATTTTGGGGCCTGGGGTTGGCATGCTATTTGGAAATCAAACCATAAAAAAGAGCCTGTCAGAGCTGAGAGGCTTTGCTTTCCAAAAGTTTTCTAAAATTCTGTGGTCAGTAAAGAACCAAATTGTGTGGTGAACCCCTTCCAGGTAATGCCACCACTCTCCATAGGCCACTTCAATGACCAGGATTGAAGATTTCATAATTTTGTTCTGTGGAGTGCGCTTGCAGGGAAAAGAGGCACAAGAATGTACTGCCTGTTCTGGGCCCTGCTGTTGCAAGAGTACTGCCTGATCCCTGTGATGAAGACATGTTTCTCCCATAAGGGCCAAAACTGAATCTGGGTAAGCCAATTCAGAGGCTGAAGTAAAGCCCTACTTTTGATGCATGAAGGCCTGTTGGGCCTCAGCAAACCAAGATGACTGATTTGTTTAAAAAAAAAAAAAAAAAAAAA